TGTGCATACGCATTGGTTGCGCAAACAAGTTGCCGAATTATACGTTCATCCCAAAACAGACCAAAGATCACTGCCGGTGTCAAGCTGGCTCCTCCAGGCACTCTTGACTCGGTAGCATGCTCTGCACCTTCGAGAGGCTTAAAGGCTGCAGGATCATGCAGAATCGGTTCGGTAGCCCCAATCACATTTGTAGCCTTTCTTTGGGTTGCACGCTTTGTCTTTTTTGCCGGAGGTTGAATATTCGAAGGACATGTAGAAAGAGGTTTACGGGATCGTTTGGCTGACATTATTGCTAGTATCGAGGAATTAGGCTCAGGCTAATAGTATCTCTACTAGTACTCAAGCTGAAGTTCAGCAGGGAGGAGATGTAGTTTAATGTCATGTGATTGGCTACCTACATTTGGTTAAACTAAGTACGCTAATGCATGAGAGAGATTTCGCCCACGTCTCAGTGAACCAGGGGATACACATACTCGTACACATGGTCTACTCGTACGCAATCGTATCGCTCGGTTTCGATAAGATGTCATCGTGCAGTTCAGTTCTTTTATTCCTTCCTTCCTTGACACAAAACAGACTTTGGAGGAAAAGAAGAAGAAAAAAGAAATTTATATCACTCTTTATTGTCCATTCACTCATCACACTCATTATAAACGAACGAGCGAACGAACGTGCAACAATGTGGTGGTGGAGGGAAATTACAAAAGTCATCATCTACAAACAAAATTTTTTTTTTTCTCTTGTGGGCGCCAAAAAAGGCAAAAAAGGCCATTCGAGTATGATACAAAGCCCCCCCCCCCAACTCCTCACCCAATGAGCGATGGGCAATTAGCATAAAATCTACAACTTCCCCCCACCCCCCACACCCCCCCCCCTGGTCATTACACAGCGTACTCCCACACTTGATCTTTTTTTTTTTTTTTTTTTTCTTCGTCATGGAATATCATTGTCTTTCTTCTCTTCTTCTTGGGGTATTTTTATCCTTGGTGTGCGGTACCGTAACTTATCTTACCTACGTACAGTACTTGTGTGATATATATAAAAAAAAAGTCTTGGAGGAAAGGGATATAATAAGAAATCGTATCGTATCGTATCATAAAACTTTGTCAGGGGGGTCTTTTTTTTATAATATGTTCTTGCAGGTTTGGGAGTACAGGATGGTACCTGTACTCGTACGGGCAGAGGGTTCTTTTATCGGTTTTTGAAAACGTATTTTTTTTTCTGACTGTATGATGGCCCCCGCCATGGTATCGTTTTTTCCTCTCGTTTCACGGGTTTACTGTACTGTACTGTGCGAGTTAACTTATGGTCTAATGTCCCACCCCGGCCCAATGGCGAGAACACAATCGCTGTTATGATGGACTGAATGAAACTTAAAGTCTAGGACGTGAAAAAGAAAAAGAAAAAAGAAAAAAAGTGAGACGAAACCCAACCCTAAAAATTCCTCGCAGATTTAAACTAACCATGATACTTTTATGTACAGTATCATACATTAGAAAGCGGACCAGTAAGATCTCGAGAATGCATCATTCCTCAGCCCTATGCCCATGCTTCACGCTTATGCTGATGCTGAGAGAAACCGCGGTTATGATATGATATGATATGATATACTTGCATCGCAGGGCAAGGGCAGGGCAGCAGCAGCAGCATGGAAGGGAAGGGAAGGGAAAGAGGGATGTGAAGCGAAGCCTGGAAAATGGGTTTTAGAGTTTAAAAAAAAAAAAAGGATGGTTGGATGGGTAGAACTATGTGTTTTGTATGATAATTATGATATGATAGTGGAGGTGAGAAGAAGAGAGAAAAAGAAAAGGAAGGAAAGAATGTGCTTTTTTTTTTTTTTTTTTTTTTGAAAACTGTGGGGAAGGAGGGAGGGAGGAGTACCTGGATAGGAATCGTCCATGGGGTGCGGAGTCGCCGTGGGTTCATGGGGCACTGTATCATAACTGTACTCGTACAGTAGTGTTGCTGTAATGTAAGATGTTTTGCTTGCTGCTGATGCTAATGCTGGGAGGGAGGGAGATAACCCTCGTGCGGCGGCTGCTGTGCCATTGAGCGCGGTGTAGTGCGGATGCCATGCACCTCGACTACTCGTACAGTACTCGTACAGTTTACAGTTTACAGTTAAAGTAGTGGGATTTTGTTTTTATTTTTTTGTTTATTTGGTGGGTGACTTTGGGGAGACTTTTTTTTTTTGTTTGGCGGTCGTTACCCACCCGTTTTAACTAGCTAACTGTATTGTAAAATATCATAATTTGTACTTTGTACGAGTTAAACCAACTATTTGGTACTTACTGCTCTGTAGGTTGTTGGCATTCTGGGGGACGTATTTCGCAAGTGCTGATCTACCGTACCGCTATCATAACCTGGGGCGGGGCGAGTATTGCTAGGGCTGAGTATGATACAATGCGCCGGTACTGTACTCGTACTATACTCCTATCTGCACGTACTGTACCAGTCATCGTGTTATCAGGACCACAAGACATGTGTTGTGCAGCTATTATGATAGCACTACTCTTGTATGGTACTCATCTCTCTCTCATCAGGAAAGAAAAAAAGCACTCGAGATAAGCGTCACGATGGGCTGACGACTCATTCCATTTAGGCCTCGAGTGGGAGAGGCGCCTTCCTCCAGTAAGGACACACTCTCTCCCCATCTACACTCGGGGCCTAATCTTAGTAATGACTTGATTCTACAGGAGCCGTAGGAATGGCCTTTTTATTATTGAATGATCGATATCATGGACCCTGCGAATGGAAGGAAGGAAGGAAATTTGCCCTGTCGGTTATATAACCGGCTTGAAAATGACAAAAGGGGCCTAACTCTGATACAATAGCTGTCGGGTGTCCCCTTGATGAGTTCCATGACCGTCCACTGGAGGCATTCACTGGTGGGCCAATTCTAACAGTTATTGTATGAACAAACCTCAAACTATCACTCGAAACCCTAATACTGCGCTGCAACCCCCCCCCCACCACCACACACACAAACACATACTTTCCACAAACGCAACCAGAACGCGCAACATCCCTAACGAGATTGCGCAACGCGATTCATCCAAACTGCGCTAAACCCCCAAGGGCAAAGCCACAACATCAACACCACGTCTTCCCACGCTTTTCCTTCCTCCCTCCTTCCCTCTCCCGTACCCCATCCGTCCGTCCATCCAAACCACTTTCTTATTGTATCATACCTGTGCTATCCCGTCAACCGACACTCTTGGGTAAGAAAGAAAAGAAAAAGAAATCTACAAAAAAAAACCCCAGAGACGAAATAATGGGCCGCTCCCAGCCAAGACTCAAACAGCTCCGCATAGATACCTACAATAGTACCTCAACCGGACACCAAGTCGGCTCGGGCATTTCAAAGCCTGCCTCGTGGCACAGGTCCCGGAGTTCAAAGTTACAGAAACAATTCCGTGAGGCTACTCCTGCTGTTCTCGCCGCCGCTATATCGACGGCGTCGGGACCAGGGGTAGAGGGGAAGGAGAAGGAAGGGGAGGAGGATGGGGTTGGGGTCGAGGTTGAGAGGAGGAAAAAGATATTCGTTGGATGTACGATATACGTTAATGGATCCACCGCCCCGCTGATCTCGGACGTCGAGTTGAAGAGGGTGCTCGTTGCGAACGGGGCCGCCGTGACAACGGGAATGAGCCGGAAGAGGGTCACTCATGTTGTCCTGGCCAGACCTGTTGATGGTGGACTTGGTAATGGTGGTGGTGGGGGTATTGGGGGGGGGCTTGCGGCGGGAAAGTTACAGAAGGAGGTTTTGATGAAGAAGGGGAATGGTCCTAGATACGTGCGTGCTGAATGGTAAAATTTCCATCTTTGTTTCTTTCTTTCCTTCCTCCTCATTCTGACCGGTTATTTTTGTTTCCGCATTGGTTGGATGTAATTAACTGACTTGACATGCCCGTGACTTTAGGGTTCTCGAATCCATTGCGGCGGGGAAGCGACTGGCCGAGAGTAAATATCCTGTCTTGAGTTTCAGGGGTGGGAGTGCCTCCCTGGATAACATGCTTGCGAAAAGGGCCTGACCCTTCCATCCCTTCATTTCTACTCGTACCATCTAATCCATGCCTGATTTTATTTCATTGGGCTTTTATACCGGACCGGAAATGGAAGGACGATTGCGGCGCGATGAGTAGCTGCGGCGGCGGAAATTATGCCCGCCGAGTTGGTGTGTTTATATTTCATGCTGCGTTAACCTGGCCCTGGCTCGCAGTTGTTGGTTTATAGATTAATGGTCCCGACTGGTGCGGCGTGAGTTCGGTTCATTGATTATGACTCGGATCTGTTGGAGAAAAGAATAGAATGAAAAAGCACAACGGTTGAATGCCTGAATACCTGAATGTTGTATGATGTGATAGAATAAGAATTGCATACCGGTAGCTTTGACTGATTACCTTTCTTTTTTTTTTTCTTTTCTTTCTTTTTTTTCTTTTTCAAGGGGGTTTTTTTTCGGGGGGGGGGTTGGTCCTAAGATTGTACTCGTACCGGTATGGTGCAAGTTGTACGATGTGGTTTGATGTTTACTTTTTTTCTACCGATATGTGTTTTTCTCTTTGGGCCTTTGTAGTGGTATGATACGGTTTGTTGCATTGTGCTCATGATAGACTGATACCCTCAATCTGTGCTTACCTGAGTGGAATGGGTGACTTGTGTGACGTTTTTGGGTGGGGAATACTACATACTACGCTTCTGCACTCGAGCACTGTACAGTACCGGCGGTTTATGGTGTGATACGGTCACGGATAGAGAGATGCTACAAAATTTTAAAATTCACCCTACCACAAAGGTGAGGAAGAAGAAAAGAAGAACCTCGCTATGATTTCCAGAAGAAACAAAGGAAAAAAAAAAAAAAAGAGCCAAACTTTTGGCTACAGGAGGAGGCGAGAATAGCATAAAAAAAAAAAAAAAAAAAGGGATTCATCCCATCATCGTCATCATCATCATAATCATAATCATCATCATCATCACAACCCTAGCTAACTTATACCTAATCAATCATTGCTCACCCACCCATCACTATCGGCCCGCCCAACGCTCATAATCTCCTTCATATCCTCCTCCTCATCGCTGTTCAAGCCCAGTCCCGCACCGCCCGCCTCGTTCCTCTCCCTCTCCGCGGCAGCTAGCTTCATCGCCACGCGACGGAAGTAGTCGTGCATGCTGCGCTTCTGCGGCCCCTCCACCGTGCCGATATACTTCTCGAAGACCGCGTCGCCCTGCTGGACTACCTGGAAGATGGCTATGAATGCCTGTTCTGCCGAGAGCTTGACGGGGATGACCATGTCCCGGACCGAGGAGAAGATCACGGGCGCTAGGAGAGGGAGGTGGGGTCTGATCATCTGTAGGGGGTTTTAAAAAAGGGAGATAAGAGTGTAAGTTTTTAGGCTTTTGCATGTTTATTTATTTATTTATTTAGAAGGTTGTGTGTGAATGGGATGCATGGTGCCTTTTTCCTTCCTTTTTTTCTTCTATGAATGGATTGGGGTGGGGGGTAGGGTGGGGGGAAGAGAGGGCGCTTACTTCTGGTTGTAGGCGGCTGACAGTTCGGATAACAACTAGCGCCAGACGTTTTGTATCTGTCGATGCGCTTACAGGGCTTTTTATGGCTTGTGTGAGCGACTCCAGGATGTTCTTTGCTGTCTCGAAGGACTTGCTCAGGTCCGAGGATATCAAGAGTTTACCTGCGGCCAAAACGCAGTTGTCTGATATGAAGGGCTGTGTATAGTAATTTCTTCATAAGTTTTCCTTCTTTTCTTCCAGACTATCCTTCTTGCACACTGGGGAAAGGGAGCGAGGGAGCGGGCGACAGGTGTGTGGGGGCGGCGGGAGGGGTACGAAAGGAAGGGAAAGAGAAGAAAAAAGGGGAAAGAAGGGAAAACATACGTTCTTGTGTGATATTCCTTGACAGATAATCGGCGGCGTCTCCTCAAAGAAGGGGGATTCGGTTAGACTAGCAGGCGACTCCACAAGCACGGCGTTGAGGCCAAGAACCGATGCTTTTGTGAAGGCGTTCGAAACCGCGTGGGTTCTGTGGGCGGTTATGGAGAGGTTAGATCGTATTTTTTTTTCTCTTGTGCTTTTTCCTTGTGTAATGGTAGGAGGAGATTACCGTATCACTCTGCTGGAATCGCCTGGGGAGAGATGGGGTACTAGGACACCTAATAGGCGGGCTCCGGCAATGGCCATGCGGTCTGATAAGTTAGTAAAGTTGGTAGATATAGGGAGAGGGGGGGTGGTAAAGGTGTACTACCGTCGTCCTGGTCGAGGTCGTCTTCTATGAGTGAGAGTATAGATGCTTTGGATGGTTCACTCATGTTCCCGCCAGCCTTGCTGACGACTTCGTAGAGGGCTTTCATCATGGCATCCTTCACACCGGGGTCAGGTGTCTTTGCTCCCGTTACCAATTCTGTAATGGATTAGTTAGTCATAATCCCTACAATATCTCGGGGTAAGCGGACCGGAAATCAGAGGATCAATTCTAGGTGTCAAAGTGATAAGAGTTCCCAAAGCCTTGGCCGCCCTGGTTCTCAAAAGCTCACTCGATGTGTCTGCCAGGGATTTCGCAAAGGTTCTCTGCAGCTGGGGTAAGAACGGCTTTAAATACGTCGGGATCTTTTGTAGTAACGAATTCAAGGTTAGTAAGATCGCGGCCTTGATATCCACAGACCTCTCCGAAACGACACGAATCAATGGCCCGGTGATCTGGGTGACGAAAGGACGTAATGATTCGCCGTTGGTCCTGTCGATGATGTCTGATATTGCTAGCGCGGATTGAGTTCGCTGATCGGGAGTTCCATACATTAGGCCCTGCAAGAAGATGGGGAGTATGGCATTGATTCCTTTGGGTAGAGAGAAACCTGGTAATTCTACTCCGGGAACACCGACTTGCTGGAGGACTTGTCTGGTCGAGAATACGAGGGCTTCCATTTCTTCCTTTTTGAGCTTCCTGGTTAGCTCGTTGAGGGCGCTCCAGGCGTTCTTCACCACCTGTGTATCACGGTCATCGAAGGAGATCAGTAGCACGCGGACACAGTCTTGGGTATATTTAGAGTAGTCCACGTCTGTTTCCGCAAAGAATTTGGCAAAGTGCCCGCAGGCAGCCGCTCTCTTTCTGTGATCATCGTGCTTGACTAATTTCAGCATTTCGTTCATTGCTGTGTTCAGACCATCGTACTCGTCCACCGAGAGAAGGACTGAATCAAAGGAGGCATTGAGATCCACCAGCAGCTCTTCGTCTTGGCAGGCAATGATATTGTCCATCAGTGAGTTCATGATATTAGGCAGCCTCCTGTTCAATGAGCTGCCGGCAACTTCCGCGAGTGATGCAAGTGCACGAGCATTGAAGTGTGAAATCGGGGGAGCCAGCAATGTAGGAATGAGGACGGGCAGAATAATATTGGAACGAGTTTGTTCTGTAAGTAATGTGAGCAGTGCCGCCAAAGCGTGCTCTGCATCGTCCTCCGACCTGAGAAGACTGAGGAGATGGGGAAGAACTTGGTCGACGATCCTCTTGCCAATGAATTTCTGAAGAGCGTCAAACGCCTCTGCCGCGGCCTCTCTCACATCGTCGTCTGCATCTACTAGTGCTGTTCGTACAACGGATACTAGAGTAGTTTCATAATCCTCTAGTGACTCGGGAGACGTAGAATTGACTACTTCCTTGAGGGCAATACAGATACCTTGCTTGGCATCCGTATCAGTAGCGAAGCGAAGGCCTTCCTCTAGTGTTGGTAGTAGGGTTGATAGCACACCCTCGCCAGCTTTTCGGATAAGTTCTCCAAGTGCCTGTCCAGCGATAACCTTTTGTTCTGCGCTCGAACTCGCGAGCCGTCGGATGATGAACTGAGTGAGAGTCGGTACCAACTCCTTGAGTGTTCTGGGGCTTGCCACAAGCGCTTTCCAAACTGCAACGGCTGCAAGTCTAACTTGACCAGATGTATCGCATCTGCATATGTAGAGTGCCGAAAGAACTTTGTCGCGTTTCTCCTTACCGAGGACCTCAAGGAGAGAGCTTCCGATTTCTCCGGTTGCCTCCATATCATCTTGCTCGGATTTACCACTGATACCAGTAAGGTTAAAGAGAAGATCCCCAACTAGCTCAACGGAGGACAGACGGATTCTATGATTGTTATCTGCAAGCCCTCCCTCGAGTTCGGGCAGCAGCAGGTCGATAGCTCTAGTTGCGAAATTCTTGACCAATAGACGGCCAGCGCGCAGGGAGGTCTCTCTAATAGATTCGATATCATCCGCAAGACCAGAGAGAATTGGTGGAATAATCTTGCTGAGATACGCGCTGAAGGAGTTTCCAAAACAAGCTGGTAGGAAGATGAACAGTGACATGAATCCCTCGCGAACAGATGGTTTCGAGCTGTTGGCATTTTGGAGAATCGTTGGAAGAGTCTCCTCCAAGCGCTGGGTACCAAGTCCAGAGAGAACTTCCGAGAGTGCTTGCGCAGAACCCAATCTGTCTCCGGCACCAGTGTCGGACTTGAGAGTAGCCATAAGACCAGGAATGATATCCGGTAGAGCATCCTCGCCAAGCTTCTCGACAAGTGATCCGAGTGCTTTCGAAGCGGTGGCTCTTGTAGCGGGCACCGGATCGACAATTGCTTGCTTCAGGCCAGATACCAAAATGGGGATGTGAACCATGACATCCTTCCTCTCCGTAAGATGTGCCAAAGAGCCGATAATCTGAGAGGCCTTCCGTTTTGTGGCAGATCGGTCCCCAAGGCCTCGTTCCAGGATGCGGACAATCTGCATCATAAGTCAGTCACTCGATAAAAAACGGTTTGAAACAAGAATTACCAATGCCAGCGATGGAGCATCTAGATAATGCACGAACGACACTTTCATAAGGGCATCTAGGGCGTCATCCGTATACTTTGTAGGATCGCTGAGCGCCTTCAATAGAACGTCCACTACGTCCTTGACTTCGGGGTTGCTGATGACTTCACCAAATTTCTTCAAACTTCGGTTCGCGGCTGCTCGAACTTCTTTATGCGAATCATTCAGGACAGTAGTTAATGGTGGAATAATCTCGGGAAGGCTAATAGCCAATTGGTGAGGTGCTAGATAGGCCATAGCCCCGAGGGTTTCGCAAGCGCCCTTCTTGCTTCTCCATGCCGGTTCATCAAGACCTTCCAATAGATCCGGAAGAATGACTTTGACACCATACGAACTTAAGCTCGAGAAACAGACCTTGGCAGCATCTGAGCAAGCCTCCCGAACATCAATGACACCGTCTCCAAAGCTCTGGAGCAAAAGTGGCAGTATCTGGATCACGTATGGTTCGAACAGCCTCCCAAGGATCAACGAAAGGAGTTCAAAAGCGAAAAGGGCACCCTGGCGTGCATTAGGCTCCTTCTTGTTCTCAACTGCCCCCCGAAGCGTTGACATGACCCTGTAATCCTTCAACGCGGATATACCCCGTCCTTTGATCACACCAGCAAGGCCATATGCGGCCCCCCTGCGTGCAGCGTAAGCCTTAGCTGTAAATATCTGGTCTAGTAATTTCTTGAGGTAATCTGGAGCCCTATCCCTCGAGGCTTTGATTAGTGGGGGCAGACATTCCGCAACTGCGTACTGCACCGTCTCGCTTGGGGTGCTTAGTGTGGCCAGTAGTCGGTCAACGACGCCGGGTATCCGCTTGTCCCCACTTCCTAAATGTCTTCCAAGAGCACCATAAAGAATGATAACGGCTTCGTTGATTCTATCACGAAGCTCTGATCCATCATCAGGTCCTTCTAGGCTCTGCTCAAAAACTTCCATAAGTTCTTCTACGTGGGCGGCGCCTTGGGCTGCAATGATTGCGGTAGCGGCTTCAATCATTTCTTCTCGGACAGCGTGGTTTCGATCGCCGAGCGGCCCCTCTTCAATTAGAAATGCACAAAATCCCACAAGCCTGGCTGGGGCGAAGATTGGTGCTAGCTCCTTGAAAGCAAGTGCAAGGCCACTCCTGGACTCCCAGGGATCGCGGTTATCGACTTTCTTAAGCATACCGAACTCGTCATAGACAGGAAGAATAGGTTTGGCCTTCTCGCGGTAGTGGTCCTGTAGGGTATCAAGTATATTCGAGAAAACATCGGGAAATTGTCTGACAGCTTCCGCTAAACTTCTCGCTGCCGCTGCTCTTAGTGATTTATCCATGTATTCCAAAAATGGAATAATTTTTCGGGCAGAATCCTCGTGAACTTCCAGGACGTTCTCCTCCCATATTGATTTTGCTAGTTCTATATTATCGTCGAGCTCGTCGTGGCAGGCCAACCAAAGCTCCTCGGAAAAGTCAAAATCTGTGAGATCAATTTCTGCATCGATAGCCTGTAAGATTGCCGTCCGAACATTGACTTCTTGTGAAATAACACCGCCTACTAGGATTTTGATCTCATCCAGTGATATTGAGCTGGAAATACATCTGCACAGATCAAGAAGGCAATCCTTGATTGGTTTATAGTGTGCAGTATATCGCTGCATAGAGTTGATCAAAAGTTTCAATATTTTCCCGCGAGGAATGTTGGGGTCGACACCTATCACAGATTAATTATGATGACCTACAGAGGGTGAAATGACCACATACATGATTCTGTATGGAACGATAGGAACTCAATTGCGAGTACAATTTGTTCGTCAGCCTCTTCTGACGCTTCTGCTGCACCTACACCTCCTTTCTCTAAAATTAAACTAACGAAGGATAGTAAGTAAACAAGCGAGACGGTATCGAAGGGGCGCTGCTCTCCGGTAAAGCGAAGTCGATATAATAGACGTGTTGCAAGAACTAGGACTAAAGTCAGCGGGTGCACTTTCTCAGAAATGATTAGTATGTGGTGTTACCTCCGAGTGGTTCCTCTTGTACCTCGGGAGATAATTCTCTAATTTTCAACGCCCTGAGACTCGCGATACCAATAAATGGCCTCAGAGCCCCGAGTCTAGATGATACATGTTCCGCGCTGGCCTGTGATTGATAAGCTTCGCCGTTTATTATGGGGGTGGGGGTTGAAATTTGGGTGCAAACAAACCAGGTACGCTTTGACCCCACTATCACCAATAATCAGTCCGGCTCCGGCTTCCATCACCTTAAGTGCTGCGCTCGCCGCTGCGCCCATCCACATCTCTACGGCAGTAGGCGGCCCTTCAGCAAGGCACCGAATGATGCCTATACCTCTGCTCAACTTGAGATTAACCTCTTCCACATTTTTCCGAACTACTGCCTCTTTTGCCACCTGCTCTCCCACCCTTGTTTTTTCATCGGCGGTGAGCTTACGTTCGGCACCTTTCTTCTGTGCGAGTTGGGCCCGAAGTTCTGCTTCCCACTTCAGAGTATCTGCATATTTTGACTTTTCTTGTCTGACACTGGCGTTGGGTTTAGAGAGAACATCAACATAGGCTACGCCTGGCGGAGCCTTCCAGATTGCTGCTTCTTGAGGACCAATTCCCTTTAACAATGCCGGATTAAGATCGTCCGTGAATAGCTGGACAATCAAGGGTGTAATGGCAGCGGGCGCCACGAAGGCCAATGTTGCTGATGACTTCAGGGCAGCTCCCCGAATATAGGAGGATCTCCCACTTAAACCCGTATATATTCTAATCTCACCAACCAATCTCGCAGCTTTCTCACTCGCCAGCTCCCCCGGGTCAACTCCAGTCTTCTGGCAAAGGCGGATCCAATCAACGCCTGGCATAAGCTCGTGATGGGTAACAACTGCAAGATTGACAAGCTGATTCTTGACCATCTCCTCCTCGAGCGTGGTCCCAGTTCCAAGCCCTCTGCCTGCCGTGCTGTCTGAGAGACAGATTGCATGGATAGCAAGGCCTATATAGGCTCCTCCGGTCTTAGCAGCAGAAGGGGCATTGTCTTTCTCGTGATTTTCGATTTTTCTCAGCCATTGCCATACCCCGTTCAATACAACCTTGCCGATAGTCTCTGGGTGGTGAAGGTAAGCGGAGGAGAGAGCAGACACGGTTTGATTTCGGATCTCGAGTGAAGAGTTGTGGGCACAGAGAAGGTACAAGAAGGCTAGGGCCCATGCATCTGCGTGATTGGCTTCGTATTTTACATTATCTGCGGTAGCTTCTAGCGCCCTTATCGCCCACTTTTGGTCATCAACCTGTGTGAGCTTAGAGTAGACTTTGTGGTTTAAGAGAAATGATGGCTTTGGTGTTGTGGCGAGACATTGTTTGACTATGTCTGCCTTTTTGATTATCAAGGCTATCTTCTCATTATCCCACTTCGCCATCTTATCCAATGCAAGGGCTGTGAAAACATAACCAGCTGTAACGAGACCAGTCTGGGCTGCAGGTAGTGGGTTTGTTACCACCTCTGTCCAGTTATCCACTATTTTTTGCATAATGTTTTCACAAAATTTTATAGTGACGGTATTTGGTGTCTCTTCCATATTCCAAATCCAGTCTCCAATCCTCAAGATCCATGTCCGCCTGAAGTTTTGTCGCTTATCCGTTAACCCTTTGTTGATGGCATCAACCACACCTTTCGCTGGCTCGATCTCTTTCTTGAGTTCTCCGGCTAAGGAATTAAAGAAGGCAGAGGATAGCTTTAGAAGGACCGCCTCGTTTTGTTCCTTGATGGCAATCTCAGCAAGGTTGGCAGAAAATTTTCCGCCAACATGGTCGGACAAAGATAGTGTTTCTATCATGGTAGCATATAACACGCGTTGATCCGCAGCTGTGACTTTTCCCGTCTTCACCGGGTTCACCAATTCATCTGTGATTTCGCCAATCGCCTGCTTATCACCCTCAAGAGATTTCTCCATGGCGGTTGTGAATGCAAGGACAGCGCCATTACGAATGCTGACGTTACTGGACTTGATCGAAGATAATAGCGGTTTCAATAACTTGTCAGCCAATGCCTTAGATATATCAATTGTTGGTGACAGCGACTTAAAAAGCGAGGTAATCAGACCATTCAACACAACCTCAGGAGACCGCAAAAGGGCCTTATCCAATGCAGGTACTAACTCGGCACTGAACTCCTCAGGGGTGGTGAATTCTGGGAAATAATCACGAAGTGACTCGGATATATACTGTGGAATGGGGGTCCTTGACATGATGAGTTCTCTGACGTAGAATTCGTAAGTTCTCTTCTTTAAGCCTTCCAATACCTCTTTCAACTTTGGCACCCTAGCGCAAACCCCGCTAATAACACCTAGTAAAAGCGCATTCTTTTGTGTCGATGCGGAACCCCTCGCCGTGAGGCCTTCAACCATCGTCTTGATAATAGCCTCGTATTCATTCTTCGTCGAGAAAGCTGCCCGCAGACCACGCCTAGCGACCGTGAGTGCAGACTTTTTAAGACTGCCCTTCGCATGTGGTGACCCAATGCACAATTCTAGTAATGATACCTGCACAACCAGTAGATCTTTGATGTGAGTGCTGAAGATCTCCAGCGACTTGGATATCTGGGATATGATAACGGAGGCCCACTCGAGTAAGACGAAAGCGCTGGAAGGGGCAATCCCGCCCTTCTGTGATTCGTTCTTGGTGGCAGCGACAAGATACCTGAGGTATGCGCTAGAAAGCGCCTCTGACTCAAACATCTGAAGAAAGCACTTCCGAACAGCATCCCGGGAGTTCCGATCGTGGTAGTATGGATGCGTTTTGAAAAGTAACTGAATGACGAGCGAAAACTCTTCCTGTGGAAGGTCTGTTTAGAGCCGCGTCAATTTCTGTATTTTACAAGCACGAAATGTCTGGAGGTAAATTGGAATCGAAATCTTACCACCCCGCTGTATTCGCTCGGCGAGAGAATGTAATTCGTGGACTCGTCTTTTGGGAGAACTACTCATCACGGACAAAACCATTGGGCTCCCTTCTCGGGATGAGCTGTTATTGGCGTCGGACTCGGCCATGATTAGGAGGGCTGATGGATCTGTCGTCTAGATACGATAGCTATCGACCTGGGTTGCGTAGCAAATGAATTATAAGATGGAAAAGAAACCAGCGGGTGAACGTGGTGTTTAGTGGGGCAAATTCCCAGGAGGAATGTGGGGTTTGCTGTATCACACACGAGGCTACGGGTCAAGTTATTTACCTACAGTTATTTATGGGTCCTGCGGCGTTCACTTGGCAGTCAGACATCTTACAGGCACTTGCACTCGTTATAGGCAAGAAGTATGGTAATTTACTGATACCCTATTCGATAACAGAGATTTGATAGGGGTTGGAAAAATATATGTCAAGAGGTCTGTGCGTACCCGAGCGCTTCATACAAGCTCGCCACTCGTATTATCGAATAAAGAGCCTTAGTCTACTCAGTCTGATGAGGAGAGCAGTCTGATGACGATCTGATAAAATTTTGCGGGAAATTCGATCTTATCTCCACTGCTTTACAGGAAAATTTGTTATCAGACGGTCCTCATCATCAGAACGCGAGGAACCTTTACCTAAGGTCTTTTCTCTCTCCCAACCTCCCCCTCCCTTTTATTTTCCGGTGAAATGGCCAGGACACTCTTCTTTCACTGGCCTAACCAACTGGTCTCCTACAGAAGTCAACAGGCCTCTCATAGTTGAAGGTGAGTTACATTCCACACTGGAACTTCACATCATTCTTATTTCTCTCACTACTCGTGCCAAGGTTTTGACATGTCATCACAACCCCCAGCTTCTCGTTTTCTCGCCAGCTCATAATTTACTGAGTGCCTGAGAGTTCGACGTAACTTTTCAGTTCAACATCACTTGTGGCTCAGCATAAGAAATTTGGTGTCTTGGCTTACGACAGAATTTCTCTGTTGTGGTCTGCCACTGTTCGAGCATTACGATAAAATAAGCAGCAACTTGGCTGTACAGTACTGTACAGTACAGTAAACTCACGCTGAACATTTTTCTGCCCTTCCCTTCATCCCTGTTCCAACGAAGCATTACCGGTGCCCACAGCCGACCAAAAATTTATGATATTCCAACACCAAATTGGTGATACAACAAATATCCGGTCCTAACGGACGAAACCTTGTCGTGACTCATCTCCATAGGGGGTTTCGGACATCACAGGCAAGGTATTGATCCATCAATAGCTCTAAATTAGTTTACAGTCTCTAGGCAAAAGAGCCCGTGAGAATGTGAGACGTGACTAAGCATGTTCACGAACACTTTTGCCTAGGGACTGTACGATATTTGTGTATACCCACTGCGCCGCCAACTGCCCATGACACAATAGACCTTGTTTTTCTTTGGTCAGACACACTTGATTAACACCCCATAATCCACCAAGGGTCATCCCGAGCTCTCTTGCATTCGCAGAAAGAAACCTATAGCCCACGGAAGAAAGAAGGAAACTCGGATGGATATGTTGAGAATATACTCGCGGAACATTCGGGACAGCCTTGGGATGTCGACGAAGTCATGGTAATTGGCAAGGAAGCTGGAGCTGAGGTAAGGGCAAGGGAGGCGAAACTGCAGTGAAAAGCAAGGTGGGATCGGCGAGACTGAAGGAAAGATGTGGAACCTGATGGAAAATGCTTCCATCGATATGTCACATATAGATAGTTAAGTAACCCCCTTGCGGGTCGATCGAACACAAGCAGAAGCGAGGAATCTCTCCAAAATGTATAATTTGGGCGAACAAGATCCTACATGCAGTAGGATCCGGGAACATCTCAAGTGACCTGCAGAGGACGAGCTCTACGCATAGACACTAACGAGATAACTACAATTTGCCTTCCGTGGCCATGCAAGCTGGGGAATGGCGCGAGCCTGGAACTCGTTAGCACAAAGAGGGTATCGATTAAGAGGTTTGTAGTTTTTGCGTATGGGTCCATTTTCTACCCAAACTAAAATATAGCTCCCCTAGTACGAAATAAGGGCAATCCACTACCCGATTAAGAGGGTAGAAAATCATGTGCGGCAGGTAGCAAAGGCGATTTCTCCATGGGTACTAAGAATGCTCGGGATTGTTTTCACTAAGCTTGCCTACGCCTCTATTACTCTAGAAACACTACAGGAAGTGGCAAGACCTAGAGGTGTGTTTCCGCCTAGCGGGAGCCTTTCCGCCCTGCAAAAGCTAATAAGGTATAGGACCTTTAAGACCGTGGGAGCAAACATATATGGGAGGACGTGTTTAGGAAATAGAGTAGAGGTTTTAGAGTTTAGATGGGTTAACTAGGGTGGGGGTTGTATTTCCTACTTTTTATCTTCGTTCACAAGAATTTACCTTTCATAGCAGGCTATACCGCAGGTTCGGGTTTCAGCCCGGCTTGCGTTTGCACGGTCTACAGAGCAGAGCGACACAGAAGCACCATCCTCACCTGGGGATTTTACGGCGCATTATGCCGCAATGTTGAAACAGTGAGAACGGAATGATGGTTTTGGAACTGGTTGAGTGACGAGAAGAATAATGAATTGCTTAATTGACTTCTCAGTAGAGAGCAAACTACCCAGACTATCTACTGTTGAGAGCAAGACACAAGTTGCGAGTAAATCAACAGTAGGAAGTAAACAGAAACAGAGAGAAGAAAAGAAAGGCAAGGAGGTATGTTCAATAGTACCAATATTGTAAGGGGGTTTTGAGATGGCGATCAAGACTAATGCAAGGAGAAAATCAATAGTGCGAGTGATACTACGGTAGTGCCAGAAGCATATTTCAACACTCCCCCTCTTCTGCCATACCGTGAGAAGGAAAACAGAAATAAAAATAAACAATAAAGGAAAGTCTTTGAACATCATCGAGCACCGGTAAAACCCCCTATCCATAAGTGTCTCAAGGGGGAAAGGTATACTCTCAGCTCTTCCTTAGAACAGTTAATAACAAAAGGAAAAACATTTCAAACAAACAGGCCTGATATCTAACCCCAAAAAGGTACTTCCTAGACTACAGTCTCCATCCCGATCCTTTCCATATGACGCCAGTGGAGGTCTCTTGCGAGAGGCTTCGTAAGTATGTCCGCGGACATATCGTGTGTTGAGATGTGGCGAAACAAGACTGTTCCCTGCTCGACGATATCGCGGACGTAGTGGTATTTTATGTCTATGTGTTTCGTTCGCTCGTGATGCCGCACGTTCGAGATTTGCGCAAGTCCGCCAGTGCTGTCGGTGTAGATGATAGTCGGAGAGGAGAACGATTCTGAGTCGGTGGGGGAGATTGTATCCATGAGATCTCCGATTAGACGACGAAGCCAAACAGCTTCTCTTCCAGCTTCTGACGCAGCTATGTACTCTGCCTCGGTAGTTGAAAGGGCGACAATTGTTTGCTTCTTAGCCTTCCAGGCTACGACACACTCTGAGAGTAGAAAAACAAATCCACCTGTCGACTTCCGATCACCTAAATCCCCTGCCCAATCCGAGTCCGAGAATCCCTTGAGAGACCTGTCAAGCGGGGTCTCGCTTCTCCTATAGCAGAGCTTTATATCTCTTGTCTGCTTCAAATATCTTAGAACACGCTTGGCCTGCGCAAGGTGTTCTGACCCGGCGGAAGCGGAGAATTTTGAGAGGATCGATATCGTGAACGCTAGATCAGGTCGTGTTCCTAACATTAGGTACATAATACTCCCAACCAAGGATTGATAGAGTTGCTGATCCTCAGGCACAAGTGGTTTGAATTCCAGAGAAGGTCGAACTTCGAGCGGCGTCCAAATGCCGTTACAATCGCTCATGCCGAACCGTCGTAGGACTGATTCTACGAAGTGTCGTTGACTGATACGAATCTTTTCCGGGAGCTGTTCGATATCGATGCCTAGGAATTGGCGTGACAATCCAAGATCTGTCATCTTGTATCGGCTTACAAGAAGTTGCTTCACCGTTGCAATGGCCGAAGGGTTACTTGACGCTAAAAGGATATCGTCTACGTATAGCAGCAGTATGACTTTGTGCGAGGAAGAGATGTAGAGATTAGCATCACCTGAGGATGGGATAAAACCTTGCGACTGAAGGAAGCAATTGATATCGCTAAACCAAAGACGGGGAGCTTCTTTAAGCCCATATAGGGCCTTCTTTAACCGGCACACTCCGCCAGGAGATGCCCCGGGGTGCAACCACTCTATGCCTTTGGGCAACGCCATAAAGACCAGATCGTTGACTACGGGATTCAGAAAGGCGGTGATGACATCCATTTGATGGATTTTCCAGCCGAGTTGGGCAGCGAGGGCGATTAGGATTCTGAATGTTGTCAGCCGGGCAACTGGAGCGTAAGTCTCACCAAATTCCGTTTGCTCATATCCTTTAATAACGAGACGGGCTTTATAGCGGATAGAACGGTCAGAGTTATGCTTAACTCTGAACACCCATTTGCATCCAATGATCTTTGCCTCACGAATATCATCGTGACTGACAACCTCCCAGGTGTCATTTTCAATAAGAGAGTTGAACTCTTGTTTCATGGCACTCCGCCACGCTGTATGGGAGACAGCATCTGCGTAACTCTCCGGGTCGTCACCCGGACGGAGTTCGCTAACATTCTTGGCTTCAGCAGCAATTGCTTGGACAGGCTGACGGCGTCGAAGAGATCGACGAAGCATTTGATTTGATTCTTGCGCGCGCTTCAGAAGCCTTTCAGGTCCCAGTGACATTGGGCCAGCTTTCTCTGGTTCCTGTACCGTCGGACCAACTTTAATTCTTTTCGGCACCGGTAACGTCGGGCCACTAGAGGAGCTCTCGAGATCGAGTGTTGTTTGGCCGATTTGGAGATTGTCGTGCTCCACTCTGACTTTCTTCTCCCCCTCGACAATCATAGCAGCTCGGCTGCTTTCTTTTCTAACGACCCTCCGATCCCCATTCTCCCCAGTCTCAGGGACGAGAATTTTATTTGGTGGTGGGACCGGGTTGACAGGTACGTCACTGCCCTCACCCCTGGTCATCGGGGTCTTGGCAGCTCCCAGCTTAAGTTCTTCTGCCTTAGCGTCAACGGCAGCCACGCTTCCAATCTCATCATCATCCTCTACCCCATTCACAAGAGGAACAAATTCTTTGAGCACGTCACGACCTGGACCGTGCTTCACATCACCAGGGGTACGAGATTCATCAAAGACAACATCGGATGAACGAACAATTGCACGGAATTCGGGGTCCCATAGCCGCCAAATCTTTGCGGTATCATGCACATAACCGATCATGATGCATTCGCGAGAACGTGGACCGAATTTACCATTCCGTTGCTCCTTCGGAATAAGTCTACTAGCTGAGCAACTGAAGCGACGAAGGTGGCCGAGGTCTGGTTTGATGCCGTGTAGCATTTCGTACGGTGACCGACCCCCAAGTGAAGTCGATGGAGAACGGCTGTGAAGATAGAGTGCCGTCTCAACTGCTTCGGCCCACATTGCATCAGGTAAGTTCGAGTCCAGGAGAATTGCTCTCCCCTTCCCAATTATTGTTCGAATCATTCTTTCCGCTACGCCGTTCTTGTGCTGACAGTAAGGCGGTGCAGGTTCGAAAAGGATTCCACCAACACGCAGGATACCACGGAAGAGGGAGTTGTCATATTCCCCCTTGCCGTTATCGCATCTGAATCGCGAAATCGGCCAGTTCGGAAAAGCTGTTTCGACCCGCGCCTGAAATTCTTGAAAGATTCTCGTAATCTCAATGGATTCCTTCAACCGCAGAAAATAGCCATATGCCCAGCGCGTATAATCATCGATGTAGAGGATGAGATAACGGGATCCGGACCAGGACGGGGTCCCAATCGGGCCACAGAGATCGGAGTGAATGAGCTCAAAGGGTCTTGCAGTTCTGGCGACAGGAAGTCGGACGAAGGTGCGCTGATGCTTTGCTTCGATGCATGTATGGCAGGGTGGAATATCGCCGATGGGGAGACCAGTGATGGAGGAAACAGCTCGAAAATTGAGATGGGCCAGTCGTTGATGCCACAGGGTAATTGGGATACTCACATCAGTGGCAGTGGAGATGTTGGTGGCATTCGCAAGGAGAGCATGAGCCTGTCTAGATAGAAGGAAGAGCGCTGGGGATTTGATGGCACCGGTGACGACCGCTCTTCCAGGACCCGCGAGTTCCCAGGCCAAATTTCTAAGCTGACCGAGAGGTATTTGGGAACCTCCGTCAAGTCTTGATATCATGCAGGTATCTTCGGTGAAGGTAATACGACGGTGGGCAGACAGCTGGCCAACCGACAGGAGAGATGACCGAAGATTGGGGGCATAGAGAGCCTGAACGTCTAGGGCCAGTACTTCATGGCTTTGATTGTTCTTGAAGAGGATTCGTACAGTGCCTACGCCTATGGCATTGATCGACGAGTTGTTGCCCATATGGATGGGAATAGTAGCGTTGGGCTTAAAGGCTCGGTATGAAAACAATGCATCGCGATTCCGACAAAGGTGGTGGGTTGCACCTGAATCAATCAACCAGTTCGAGATTTCGGCTTGCCGGGTATCTGATACCGTTAACTCGTTCGATGAAAGAGAAACTACATCGGTTAGAAGGGCTTGAACAGAGACAAGGACTGGGTCAGCAGTAGCTGGCATGGCTGAAGCTTGTGAGCTCTCGGAATTCTTGTCAGCACTGTCATGTCTTTTACTCTTCTGATGTGCATCCATTGCCTGTCTCCCCCTCTGACGAGAATTACAGTCACGTCGCGTATGCCCATGGCGACCGCAATGCCAGCAGGTAACGGACGAGGAACGATCATCCGCACGACCGCCAACGGAGCCATTG